TCTTCAAGCCTGCCTCCTGGCCTCTGGCACACAGACTTTTTCTTTCCATAATGCTGTATCTCTCCAGGCCATCAACTCTGCCTCTATCTCTGGTGTCCCTGCTTCTCTAGTTAGGGTCCCATATTCCATTTATGCTCACTTCCTTTGATGGTTCTAGGGTCCACTGTTACTGGAATGTAAGATTAACTACTCCCCCCTTTATGTTGAAAACTTTTACGTTTACAGTTGTGACAATCACAATTAGTCATGATAACAATTACTCAATATTGAATCAAAAGAATCCTGCCCCATGTCCTTTCACCAGACCCATTTAGACAAGATGAAAACTATTCAGTGGGGATTCTACCTTCCCCACACACACTCTGAAACTAAACTCCCATTTGAAAACTTGTAAGCCAGTCACTTCCTGCCTTTATAGCCACCAACCCCTGCCTATCCTCCAATGCCGTTTTAGGTAGCCAATGTCTTCAGTTGCCAGTTCCTATCAACCCTGTGTACTGAGGGGATATGTTTGATCTTTGATGTGAAGACTCCTACCCTCTTGTTGGTATTTTGAGCTACTACACTCATAGGTATAGGTCAAGTTCATCAAATTGTAGCAATTTACACTAGCTTTCTTTAACAAATTTCTTTATCATCCTCTAGTCAAGCTCTGGTCATCAAGCCATCGAAGCTAGGCCAAATGGCATTATCTGCAAGTTTGGGTGTCCTCCATGGCTAAGTTAATGTCCAGGGGCTCAGGAGTTCCCAAGTCTCCCCAAACATCGGACCAACCTGCCTTTCCTCTTCTCTCTTTCATCTCAAAGTCAACAGGAGTCTATGAAATGTGGTCAAACTCAGCCCATATCTTTTTTTTTATTTTTTATTGTGAATTATGTGATAGTTTACACGGGAGAACACTAGCTTTACATTCATCCTACTGTATTTCATTTCATTGCAATGATTACAATCCCCTCCATGCATCATCAAACAACCAAAGGGTATACTCCGCAAATCTGTCCCTCCGGCCGTCAGCACACAGCCCCTCTCCCTCTCTGTGTCCAGAGTCCCCAGATGTTCTATCTCCTCACGTCATCATCTCTGGCTCCATTTCTGGCATCACTGCTTCTCTGGGTAGGGTCCCGCACTCCACTCTTCTCACTTGATGGTCCCAGGGACTTCCAATCCTGGACTGCAACGTCAATCACTCCCTTCCTTTTGCTACAAAATGTCTACTTTTACATTTCCAACCCTCACAGTCAGTCCTGATAGCAATTATTCACTATTGTACCACAAGAGTGCTATCCCCATCTCCTTTCATCAGCCCCATCCCAACAGAATGGAAACCACTCAGTGGATATTCTACCTTCCCCCACCCCCTCTTGAAAGCTTGTAAGCCAGTCACTTCTTGCCTTTGTAGCCCCCACATTCAGGGTAAGCAATGTCTAAGTTGCCCATCCCTGTCAACCCTGTGTACCAAGGGGGTGGGAATGATCCTCACTCTAAAGATTTGTTCCCTCTTTTGACCTACAACATCCTTAAGTGTAGATCAAGTTCATCAAATTGTAGTGGATTACTCTTTTTTTCCTCTTCTTTCTTCTTCTAGTTGAGTTCTAATCATTCAGCCACTGAAGCAAGGTCAACTAGGTACTATCTGCAAGTATGAATGTTCTTGTGCATCTCCCCTCATTTCACATCAGCTGGACACTTCACTCTCCACTCTAGTCCTCTGTGGCCATGTCACTGTCTCTGAGCCCAGGAGTCCCCAGGTCTTGCCATACTTATGTCCAACCAGGTCTCTACCTGGGTTCACAGGAGTCGGACTTAGCTCACAACTTCATTGTTTTTTCCCCCCCACTTCTCCTTATCGGTGACAAATGTCGTCACCAGCCAGACAACATGGCTGCTCGTGTATTCCCCTTAAGTCTTAGTCTTGGAAGGGGTTTGCTCTGAGGGGACCCAACCACTTGCCTTGATGGCTCCCAGGCAAACAGCTTGCTTGTTCTTGCAGTAGTCAATCAGACTGCCATTATTGTTCTTGATTTTTCCTGCCGGTCTTTCTTCCACGAAGTATCTTCTGTTCTTCTAGCCACTCCAGGCTGGTCTACTTGTCCTTTCAAGTGGAAGTTTCCCACCTCAGAAGATTCTGGATGGGGTTCAGGATTCCACCTATGGTTTTATGCAATGCAGAGGCTCCACAGGAAGCCTCTTTCACCGGAAACTCAGCCCATATCTTGATCACTAACTTTCCCCCATTTCCACTCAAATGTGTACCAACATGATCGCTGGTGAGCTTACATGCCTGCTTGTGTGTTCCCTCTGAGTTTCAGTCTTGGAGGGGAGCTTGTCCTGAAAAGACTTCATGGCTTGCCTTGATGGAGCCCCAGCAAACAGCTTGCTTGTTCTTGTAATAGCCAAATAGATTGTCATTTTTTTTTTAATTCAATAATTTATTCACATTTTGTTGTGTGACATTGGTTATAATCCCTTTAATGTAGCAGCACTCTTCCTGCTCCCTCCCTGGGATCCCCAGTTCCATTCATCCTTCCCTGCCCCTTCCAATCTTCTGAACTTTTGGTTGAAGGTAAATGCTTCCTTCCCTTTTGGTCTCCTATGGTTGGTCACACTAAGGAGTGCATTCTTCCCTAATGTGAGTATTCACTTTATAGACTTGTCTGTTGTTTGGCAAGAAACCTGATTTTATAGTAGGTTATGAGCTGGGCTGCTAACCAAACTTCAAGGTCAGCAGTTCAAATCTACCAGCCATTCCATGGGCAAAAGATGAGGATTTCTGCTTCCATAAGGATTTACAACCTCAGAAACCCTAGACAGGGTCACAATGAGTCAGAACAAACTCCATGACATACCATTAGCACCATTGTTAGGTTGAAAGTTGTTCCTCAGGGGTGGGTTCAGTTCCAGGCTTGAAGGGTGTCTACAGACCACAGTTCCAGGGATTCTACCAATTTCTATCAGACCTGGTCTTTTTCATGAATTTGAAGTTTGCTCTATGTTTTGTTTTCTCCCTCTCTGTTCAGAATCACTTGTGTGATCTTAATCAAAGTGGTCAATACTAGCAACCAGGCACTATCTAGTTCTTCTGGTGAATGGAGGCTGTAGTTTACATGACCCCATTAGTCATTTACACTCATTGTTTCTCAAGGCTGACTTTTTTTTTTTTTTTAATGTTTTATTGTAAATTATATGATAGTTTACATGGGAGAACTTTAGTTTTACATTCATTCCATCGTATATCATCTCACTGCCATGGTTCCAAT